GTTTGTTTTCATTTCCTGGTTTGCAATTCTGGGCACAATTATTCCTTCAATATTTCTCAATGTTAAGGTGAGGAGCTGAAAGAGACCACTCTAACTTGTAAATATTCATAATATATGTAGAGTGGGTCTCTACAACTACCCCCCTTAAAGAATTTCCTCCCACAGCCTGCTATCCCGCAGGCCACGGACAGACGATGGGCGCAGTCTTGATGTATTGACAAAGCATCCTGGGATTCAAATCCTTCCCAACAAAAGAATTTCTTATTTGGGTCGTCTTTAGCCTTCTTCCCCTTCCACCATATAGGCTTAGGGGTCTCAACCTCACATACCTGGAATAAAACAAGATTCTTACCTGCCTATCTTACGTGAAGGATTTTTAGTATTTTTATACGAACCCCCCTAAGAACTGCAGGTACTAACCTTCTAAGATTATTTACATTCAATTATACATGGTAACTTGTCTAATTGGACACTACGGTGATCTTTTCATCATCCTCTTCCCAATCTATACAAGTCTTATACAATGATCAATATATGGTCTATATACATATTCTGACCCTCTCTAATCATGAGTCTTAATATGTCTCATATTCGTCCAACCATTCCGGCTTTTTTCGAACCCTTGGTTTTCTCCCACAAAACCCTTCTGGTCCCTTAATTGTTTCTTGGGAGGGAATATTTTCTGAGATATTTTCTGTTTCAAGTTCCACCCCCTGGGGATCCCTCGCTATGAATGGTTTCAACCGATTGTGGTGAATGACTCGCTTATCCTTATCACTAATTTTGATCTGATATCTCAAGTCATCGATCTTTTCAACTACTTCATAAGGTCCATGCCATTTCAATGCGAATTTTGGACTTCGGCCAACTTTGACCGCGGGAATATGCACCTAGACTAGCGATCCCTTCTCATACATTTTCAAGTTTGTTTTTAGGTCATAACCTCTCTTCTGCCGATCACTAGCTAGTTGAATATTTGTTATAATAGGTGGTATCAACCTCTCCTTGTTCAATTTCAGGAGGTGGGCCGAATAAAAGATCTGTAGAGGTTCGCACTTCCCTTCCGCATAAACAAAGCAAACTTCCCGTCTATGACTTGAAATTCAATGATCTGATTGAGTGTTTCTATAAAATACTAGTCAAAATAGTATAATAATATAAAATACTGTCCAAAAACCCGGAAGTGAATTGTAAAAACAGGTAGTGTGAGCCAGAACAAAGAGAGATTGGACTAGTACTTCATAAGAAATTACTAATAAGGTGAGTGATGAATAGGTTTCAGGAATATGATAGAATGATAGGTCTAGTGTTAAAAAGGGTGAAGTTACAGGGTGAAAATATAAACAAACCTACACCAAATACAACACAGCAAGCTAAAAAGAATAAGGGATTAGATACTTAAAATAAACCCACACCAACTACCAACTAATAGTAAATCACACAAGAAATATATTCATACAATTAAGTCTATTCTATTAATTATACTTGCGTTTTATGTCGCAACTGAAATATATATGTACAATGTGAATAAATACTATTCAGATTATATAGAGTATAGTTTACATAAAGGTTAAATATCTTTAAATCTATTAGAAATGAAATTAAGCTCAATAACGCTGAAATCTGCAGTCTGTTAAAAATGTCTTTAAAATTATGTCAGGGATACTACTTCAAATCAGAACAGAATTTCCACTAACAATTTCACAGTAGGGTTGTATTTTATGCCCTCTATAAATCCAGTTAAGAACCAAAAGCATGAAAAATGACGTCAGAATGCCTTAAAAACCCGAACAAGATGTAGCGTTTTAGCCGAGATAATTAGTTTATATTGAGATAGAGATTATATATGTTGAAGTAAAACGTAAAACTTTTAGCTTTACATAACACATTTATATTTAGAATAAAGTGTGAGGTGCTATTTATGTACAAATGTGTTTGTATTATATGTAGTCTACAATGTTATATTTATGTGTATTAACAATTAGTTTTAGTGTATTTTAGGAATGGTAAGTAGAATAAGTGAAAGTCACAGTCTTTCTAAGGTGCCATAAGAATAGGCTGTGAGTGGCACTTAAAATAAAGAGAATGAGAAGATGAGATTAAAGTTTATAACTCTTATTTTAACACATTGCCTGTTATGAATTATTATAACCACAAAAGGTGGGTACTTAGAATACATGTATTAAGTATATGAATATTAATTGAAGTTAAAAGAGATCACAACACGCCATAATTAATGAGTGCTATAAACATGATAGATATGATATGAGAAACATGGTGCGAAAAGTACCACCTTAAATGGGACCCAATTGGAGTTTTCATAATATAAAGAAAGAAAACAATTAGGAAGGAAAAGAGTTGCCACGAAGATTTAGAATAATAATTTAGATTGGAAATTGAAGAACACCAGTTCATTCTGTTCGTTAGTTTGGAACGTCCCGTCGGCATCTCAGAGCTTGAATGGTGCACCTGAAATGGCAATTTGCCTATCACTAACCTGATATTGCACCAATAAGGGTCTTGAATATAACCTGTCAGAGCCCGTTACACACGAAATACTTACAAAGTGTGTAAATAAACGGGATGAACAGAGTCTAATTGTCTTGAAATCTTGATTAAAACTTGAGTCTTGATAGCGGCTGTTCAGGTACGAAGGCCCGTGAGCTGCAAGATGTGGCAGATGCCGTAGATGCACGAACTGGTGTAAAAGTAGACAAAATTTGGAACTATTGATGCCAATTTGATGGTCGTGGTCTTCTGGAAAACTCAATGGAACTCACAAAAATGCACACAACACAATAATTTATAGAGATAACAATAAAAATGACTATAATTCTGTTAAAATAATGTGAAAACAGGTTTGAGACATAAAGAGTCTGTAAAATTAAGAGGTTTTAACATGCGATTATAAAGATATTAAAAGAATTAAAAAGTAATAGAGAGAGACAAAAATAATACCTGTCGAACCCAAAAGACGAAAATCAAGAAGTGACGCTATCTGCCATGGATTGCGTAGCCAACCATGCGAACCAATGAAATAACGCCATAGGCACATAAAATCCCCCAAAATGTGACGTAAGCTAAATGGGTTTCCCCGAAAACAAATATGGCGTGAAGAATTTAGAAATTAACAATTTGAAAGAATAATTACCGAATAATGATGATAAAATATGTTAAGATGTAAAATACGATAAGTTAAAAGATATATGAAGGTAAGAAGAAAAGACTACATAAAGTATAATCGCATGTGGAGTTGTAACGTACAAAATATAAAGTGGCCAATGCCACATTACTCCCCCCTTAAAAATTAGCTCGTCCCCGAGCTGTACAATTATAATATTCACAATTTACATATTATAAGATAAAAATACATTTAAATACAATACTTTATACAATAAAATACAATACACTGTAATATAATACCTGCAGCAATATAATATTTATATCACTATAAATTTTACAATACAATACTTACCGCTAAACAACATATTCTGATGCATAGATCTACAATACAATCACAAGAGAATACAATACCCACCACAATACTATATACATTGTCATACATCATTTACAATACAATAACAACAACAACAACAAAAATACAATTCTCACCACAATACTTTACCATGAAATTTAAATATTTACTCCTGTTTAATATTAGAGAGATTTCGCACATAAGTGAAAGTACAACTTATACGTATACGTATAGTTTAAAGGGTCATGTCGAACTATTATATTTACTAAAATCAATTTTAAATTGTACTTAATGGAACATAACTATTCCCGTTATAGAAAAGCTCCATCAACTAGAGACTGTGAATGCACTGTCATCTGCACGTGTAGATTATGCACATTATAATTAAATGCTTGCTTTCGTGTCCTTGTAGTTGTAGTGTATTATAAACACAATCCTTTAAAGTGAGTCATGATTCTTTAAAGTGAGTCATTACATAAGCAAGTTGATTATTTCAATGTTTTCATGATCAGTATAAGTTCAATGAACTTACAATACGGTATATTTACGTAGATGATAACGTATACAGTTGGATCTCCGTATAAAGATTTGCCTACATGTGTGTGGAACAATTTACCGCAAGCATTTTTTTTAATTAATTGGCTGAGTGGGAACAGTATCCAATCAAATACTTTAACCATCAATTCGAAACACCAATCAAACCAGTAGGTTCTAGCAATTCATGGAAACGACCCATTCAGTAGCTCAACATATGACATTCAGGGTGTTTCATAACGAGCATCTCCAAAGGTCAATCTGAGAAGAGATGGTTCTATAACATATGTACTATATATGAGCCTATTTTATTCTAGGCAAACACATTTGGATCAACTAAACATGCTACAATTCAAGAAAGTACAAATGGCATCCCTTTGACCTGTATTTATTACAGTCCGAGAAGATCTTTCCTGACGAAAAGCCCACATTATGAAACACCTTGTACGTTTACCTATAAGTATAAGTATACGTTATAAGTTGTACTTTCACTAGGTGCGAAATCTCTCTATTAAAAACATTATAACAACTTAAAGTCCTGATTGAGATAGATTTATATATATCTGTTAACAGTCCAATATATATATGCATTGTCTAGTTGTTGTGAATAAATCCATATTATGACGATTGTCCAATATACACACGTTGTCTTGTTGTTGTGAATAAATCCATATTATGACGATTGACCAATATATACACGTTGTCTTGTTGTTGTGAATAAATCCATACAATGACGATTGTCCAATATATACACTTTGTCTTGTTGTTAATAAATCCATACGATGATGATTGTCCAATATATACACGTTGTCTTGTTGTGAATAAATCCATACAATGACGATTGTCCAATATATACACGTTGTCTTGTTGTTGTGAATAAATCCATACGATGACGATTGTCCAATATATACACGTTGTCTTGTTGTTAATAAATCCATACGATGACGACTGTCCAATATATACACGTTGTCTTGTTGTTGTGAATAAATCCATAGGATGACGATTGTCCAATGTCAAAATATGTTGTTCATTTAAAATTACGAAGTAGTGTCTTTCAGGGCTAAACTATCAAGTTCATAAATATACTCTTTGGCCTCCTCTCTTACAATTAATCTCTCTACACGACGTATCGCATGCACACCTATACAAGATGTTTACATTCCTTTTTCCTTGTTTCTTTTCCTTAAAGTTTCTAATGATCTGAGCATTTTTACTGTTAAATCTTGCACATGAGCTTGGTGCTCCTAAACCGAACATAGATGCATCCTCACCCTCTGGAACCTTTACTCCATCTATGTGAAGATTGCTATTTTCCTCTGTTTCATTTAGCATACTGAAAATCGATCCCATATTTTGAAATCCCATGTCCTGGTCCATGAATAATACATCCTCTTTACGTTTAATTGGAGTGTCCTCATCTTGTTGAAGTTGAGGAACATATTCACTTCTTGAATCTTGTACTTGTTGGACTTGAGACACAATATTACTTTGTATGATTTGCTCCCGTTGTACTTGAGTTACATATTCACTTCTTGAATCTTGTACTTGTTTGACTTGAGGCACATTATTACTTTGTATGATTTGCTCCTGGAGGACTTGAGGTACATATTGACTTCTTGAATCTTGTACTTGTTTGACTTGAGGCACATTATTACTTTGTATGATTTGCTCCTGGAGGACTTGAGGCGCACTAGTACTTTGTGTTACTAAACCATGGCCGGAACGGCGATATTGCCCTTTACAATGTTTGGTATAGCGAAACAAATCACCCCGCCTACTTTCCGGCGTTTTGTAATTACATTTGTCACATGATAAGAGTGGGCTCTTGTGGTCCCTTAGATGAGCTTTATATTATAAGTCTTCCTACTCTGAAGCAGCTTTTGGCTAATTTGGCACTGATCCATTTTTTAACTGAAATAATTAAAAAAAAAATTTTAATATTCCTAGAAATATATCTATATATACAGGGTGGGCCAAAAAAAACCAATACCCAACTTCAAATCAGGATAAAAATAGTTACATTCAATATGGTACATAGACTCGCATATCATTTTAAAGGTTATACAATTTCAAACAATTTGGTATATAACACTATGTCATGAAATCAATAGTAAAGTTTTATTATACTTATTTGGGAGGCCGGGTTGCTATTTGGGGTTTCTAGATTTTAGGGAGAAAATAGTAAATCTGCGGGATTATGTTAATTTTTTATTTATAGAATATCATTCTTTTGTTAGGTGAATACATGCCTCGATATTGATATTTGCATCATCGTGTGACTAAATTTATTGTTTATGAATTTCAATGTTGTTTAATAACATTTTACTCTTTATTTATTTAAAGAATTTTAACAATTGCTCAATGTACCCCACCCCCTCCCCTCTGCATCAACAATAAGCTTCAAGTGGTAGCGCAATCTACCAATAGTCTTATTGAGAGATTTCTGTTGCAATTTATTTCAGCACTTTAGGATTCTGTTTCAGCTCGTCAATGCTGTTTATCGGATGCTTTTGTTGTACCATTTCCTCGAGATGGCTCCATGTTGGTAATAAAACACATTAGCATCGGGGCTGTTGGGTGGCCAAGCATCGAGATCAATCAAATTGACACCTTGTTTGCAAAGAAATGCCAATGTCTCCTTTGATCTATGGTACGAGGCAATGTCTTGTTGGAAAATAAAATCCTTGTCACATATACATTTAATGTCTTTTAACAGACCCCCTTTGAGTACTTATTGATTATAAACAACACAGAAATTCATAAACAATAAGTTTAGTCACACAATATGCAAATATACAAGCATGTATTCATCTAACAAAATGATATTCTATAAATAAAAAATTAACATTATTCCGCAGATTTACTATTTTTTCCCTAAAATCTGGATACCTTAAATACCGACCTGGCCTCCTAAATAAGCATAATAAAACTTAAATATTGATTTCATGACATAGTGTTATATACCAAATTGTTCGAAAATGAATTACCTTTAAAATGATATATAAATCAATGTGTCATATTGAACATAGCTATTTTTATTCTGATTTAAAGTTGGGTATTGGTTTTTTTTGGCCCACCCTGTATATATTATAGAAATCATATGATATACAAGTACTTATTTGATTGATGTGCCTTTTTGTTGTTATATTAGAAACATGTTTAGCACTCATTTTAAAAAAACTTGGTCAGATTTGTGAACTCTGTTATTTTACAACTTCAAATTTAATATTTAATATTTTTGTATATCTTCTTAACCAGGATTTACTTAATGACAAATACTCAAGTTTATTTACAATTATGTACATGTTAAGTCTTAAAATTCTTATTATTATTTATTAGTATTTGAACTCAATTATGTACATTAGATTTTTTTAATTATTTCCCTATTTTCTTATAAACATATGTCAGTAGTTATATTTGTCATATTCACATATTAATAGTTAAACTACTTATTCTCAAAATTTGTCTTACATCCAACCAACTAAAGTTTTATAGTATATGAAGGTAAGAAGAATAGACTACGTAAAATATAATCGCATGTGGAGTTGTAACGTACAAAATATAAAGTGGCCAATGCCACAAAGATTTTAATTGATGTAAAAGAGTTGTGAACTTTCAACTGCTGTAACCCAGGGTTGTTATTCTAAACACCAGAGGTGTTAATTCAATGGAATGTGCCCGTTAAGTCTAATTTCAAGTTCAGGTTCAAGTTAAAAGCCATCTACGATACTACAGCTCACCGAAATGGTCAAGTTTTATGAATGAATTTGGATTTCAAAAGTGACGTATGTGATCACGTGACTAAATCGTCTGCTTTTCCCAAAGTTATGATTTAATTTGATCAATAATTCCCTTTGATTGATAACGTGAATCTCTATTCTGTACTATCTTGAACCTTCCCAGCATATGGGCTTATTGAGACAAACTCCCAATCTTGTTCAACTTTTACAGACTGCAGATAACACCGTTAGAAAATATGTGCGGGAAAAATGAAAGTTTTGAAATGTTTCCTCAAAGTTCAATTATCGTTGAATTAACTGTCTTCAAATCTCTTCACTCCCTAATGGAATGCTTTAGATCTCTATACAGTACTAAGATTTACTTACCCATACGCCAATACCCCTCTTCGAGTCAAATGTAACGTCCATGGAACGGTAAATCTCGTAGCTCTGTGTATGTGTATTAGTCAGGAAGACTAGCGAATGTGTTTAGCAGATGACAGGATCCGAAGCTCAGCTGTGCAGGAATTGTTACATTGTATCCGAAAAAGACACTTGTTTATATAGTAACAAAATGGCCATACGCAATCTTGGGGACGACGTAGGGAGTTAAAAGGGCGGAGAGAGCAACCAATTGGTCAGAATTTATGAGGTAGGGACCGAAAAAGTGATATCACTTCGGAAAGTGATGTAAAAATGAGACTGCAATTTCAGCGTTTTACAATGATAAATAGGTTTTTTCTATAAATATACTGGCTCTGATACGATGGTCCAGGTCCAGGCCTCTTAAAATAGTATGATCATGTTAAAGGGACATGATATGGTTAAATACTGATTATAGATATTAAAGGGGCACACACTGATTTAATATGAGAATATGAATAGAGTGGGTCTCTACATCAATCTAGGCTGGAAGTGAATTATAAAGTAGGTAGAGTGAGCCAGGACAAAAGAAATTGGACTAGGTTATCATAAACACGAGAAATCGACTAATAAGGTGAGTGATGAATAGGTTTCTGAGGGATGATAAAGTGATGGGTTCAATGTAAAAGGGTGAAGTTACGGGGTGAAAATATAAACTAACCTATTCAATACAACACAGCAAGCTAAAAGTATAAGGAGTTAGGTACTATAAATATCACCACACCAACTACCAACTAATAGTAAATCACATAAGAATTATATTAATACAATAAAGTCTACTCTATTTTATACTTGTTTTTTGTGTAGCAACTGGAATATATATGAACAATACGAATAGATATGATTCAGGTTAAATATATCAATATTTACATAAAAGTTAAATTTCTTTAAATCTATTATAAGGAAATAATTTTCAATAACGCTGAAATCTGCAGTCTGTCGAAATGCCTCTAAAATTATGTTCGGGATACTACTTCAAAACAGAACAGAATTTCCCACGACAATCTTACAGTACGATTGATTTTTATGCCCTCTATAAGTTTAATCGGAAACGAAAAGCATGAAAAGTGACGTCAGTATGCCTTGAAATCCCGAACAAGGCTTTGATAAATGGAAAAGGACTGTGAACTCCCAACTTGTCGTAACCTTGGGTGTTATTCTAAACACTAGAGGTGTGAACTCAATGGAATGTGCCCGTTAAGACTATCTTCAATTAAATTCTAGTTCAAGATCAAGTTGAAAGCCGTATATGAAACTATAATACACTAAAATGATCAAGTTTTATGAATGAATCAAAAGTTGTATTTCAAAAGTGACGTAGGTGATCTTGGACTCCCCAAATCGTCTGCTTTCCCTAAAGTTATGATTTAATTTGATCAAGAATTCCCTTTGATTGATAACGTGAATCTCTATTCTGTACTATCTTGAACCTTCTCAGCATATGGGCTTACCAGGACAAACTCTCAATCTTGTTCAACTGTTACAGACAGCAGATAACACCGTTACAAAATATGTGCGGGAAAAATGAAAGTTTCAGATTGTTTCTTCAAAGTTCAATTATGATTCAATTACTGTCTTAAATCTCTCCACTTCTCTAATAAGTGCTTTAGATTTCTATACAGTACTTAAAGTTAACTTACCCATACACCGATACCTCTTCTCGAATCGAAAATCACGTCCATCAAGTAAGAATTGGCACTCAGTACGAATTGTATAGATCTTGTCCAAGCTAATAGCAGGTGTGTCTATGGGATCTCTTGTTCAGCCGTGCGAGGAGCTGTTACATTGTATCCGAAAAAGACACTTGTTTATATAGCAACAAAATGGACATACGCAATCTTAAAGGCTACGTAGGGAGAATTATATGTAATGTTACTAAAAATGGATGATTACCAGGGTTTTTATAGCTACGTAGGGTAGTTAAAAGGGCGGAGAGAGCAGCCAATTGGACAGAATTTATGAGGTAGGGACCGAAAAGTGACATCACTTTGAAAAGTGACTCAAAGTCGAGACTGCAAATTCAGCGCTTTACAATGATAAATAGGGTTTTTCTATAAATATACTGGCTCTGATACGATGATTCTGGCATACGTATTGCAATAATGTGATCATGTTAAAGGGACATGATATGGTTAAATACTGATTATAGATATTAAAGGAGCACACATTGGATAAATATGATATTATAAATAGCTTATACAGGGTGGGTCTCTACAACTACCCCCTTCTTAAAAATATCAAGGTTTGTCCTCAAACACACGTCAATTTATTACCCACTAATACAGTAAAAATCTTCCACTAGTCCAAGAATAAATGTAGGCGAGGAATTGTCACAAAATAGTAGCGTAAGTAAGAATCCAGTCAACAGGAAACATGTCACATAATATCCATCCTCATTGCTAAGTTTGTTCAGGTCAATACAGTATTACATAATGTCTAAAAGCTGGTCGATATCCACATCGTCCATGTTCATGTCTGGCAACAGGGCGGATCCCCCGAGGAGTCTCTCTACTTCACTGGCCCGTCTATGCTCTCTGCCCGTAGTCCTCTGGATTGCGGCGAGTTCAGTTGTTGGGTCGCTGCTTCTGGTTCTCCCCGGGGAGGCACGGCAGCTGTGAGCTGGGGCGTCGAGATCGATGCGGGATCGACCCCCAGCTCCTGCTCCGTGCCCTCCCCCTTCCGACCTTGTTTCCTCTCTGCGGCTTCCGGGGCGGCTCCTCGGCAACCGCTTGCTGACCCTCATCGGAGGAGGTGGAGTGAAGCTTCCGATGGAGGGTCAGCTGCTCCACTTCAGCGGGCGGGAAGCGAGCATCGCACTCGCCCACCCCACATGGCACGGACGCCACGTGGCAACATCTGTGGTGTATCTCCCACTCCTCTCTGCTCACGTATTGTTTGAAACAACGGAATGGCCGCCCAGCTGGCCATCCTTGGGGGGGGGGGGGGGTCACTGCTCATCTGGCACACCTAAAATAAAATAAAACTCTTACCCTCTTTACCCTACTAGAAAGGTTTTAAGTATTTTTATACGAACCTCCCCTAGGGTCTTAAGGTGCTAGTTTTCTTGATATTTAATTAATACATATATACTTAACCATATTCTATAAATATACTGGCTCTGATACGATGATTCTGGCATACGTATTGCAATAATGTGATCATGTTAAAGGGACATGATATGGTTAAATACTGATTATAGATATTAAAGGAGCACACACTGGATAAATATGATATTATAAATAGCTATATACAGGGTGGGTCTCTACAATAGCATACACAACTCAATTTATAATAATATGGTAAGTGTGGTAAAAAGTGATGCAATGACTAGTCTTTTATTGTTTGCATTAATAATCAAGCAAACACAAAATATAAAATACCATCCTATAACCTGGAAGTGAATTATAGAAATATAGGTAGTAACACTCTATTCTTTAGAATGGGAATTATTTTTTGGAATGGGAAAAGTAAAATATAGATGAATCATAAACATGAGTGAGATGGCTGAGATTTTATTTTTAATTTAACGTGAGGTATAACGTTATACCTAATGTTGAACATAGCATCTCGGACTCAGCATGAGGTATAACGTTATACCTAATGTTGAACTTAGCATCTCTGATCCAGCGTGAGGTATAACGTTATACCTAGTGTTGAACTTAGCATCTCTGACTCAGCGTGAGGTATAACGTTATACCTAATGCTGAACTTGGCATCTCTGACCCAGCGTGAGATATAACGTTATATCTAGTGTTGAACTTAGCATCTCTGTCTCAGCGTTAGGTATAACGTTATACCTAATGTTGAACTTAGCATCTCTGACTCAGCATGAGGTATAATGTTATACCTAATGAAAAGAGAAAATATTTCTTGCAATTCTGCCATATGACATATGCAGTCCATCTTTTGTAAATATTGCTGGTGAAAGCAGAGTTATCGAACAAGGCTAAAAACCCTCAACATTTGTTCTGACCAATGTCAAATGGTATCTTAAAATAATCGTCTGGTATTCATGAAATCTTAAAGAGAGAATCAGATCTAGCGAGCAGCCCAACAAAAAATTGTTTCAATTTTAGAATATTTCTGGCTCATGTCATTCCTTTTCACGTTTATTTTCTTAAAATTCCCAAAGTGCACACTTTATTTTAGAAAAACTAAAGATTTTTACAATAATGTATCATTTTTCTATAAGAATGGTTACCATTCTTATTATTTGGGAGAATTTAAACATTTTTCACTCATTTTTGCACTTTGAATCCATTATAATTTCACCAATTTATAACATAGTGTTTATCTCTTGGGAGATATTGTTTTTGAGAATGTAAGGAATTGATTGATAGGTTAATTGTATACATTGCATGAATTTTGTCTTAAGTAGTCCAGAATAAATTGTCTCTGTTCTTTGAGACGCATTTGGAGGAAATCATTTCTTGCTGTTTTGCTTTCACTCAAGGCCACAGCAGACAGGCACAAATATGTACAGCAAGGCATGGCAACAAGCTTAAACAGTGGCATAATCTTTTTGGACACTGAAACACATAACATGGGTGGTGATCAATAATGATGTCATAATTATTCAGCACTTAACATTATTTAAAATGGATTCAAATTCCTTATTGCTCTATATTATAGTTATAATTACATTAATACTTGGTGAATGGTGAGTGATCCACAAAAAGTAATACATAAATGTTTCTCACTCAACCAAGTGGTAACGGCTTAAAACTAACTCAACATACAGATCATCAACAACACTAACCATTCTTCCTGATCATTTTGTAAAAATGCAAGCTTTAGAACCAGAATTCACACTCATAGGATGGTTTTTATTTTGACTGTTGAACTAAATCAAAACAAATTACTTGATTATAATGTGAGGAAGTAAAACAAATTACACATTTTAGAGCATCATAGTTTTAGACCCAGGTAGATACAGCCACCTTAATTCATATATCTCAATTCTTTTTCAGATGATAAACTTGTTTTCAACGTTTTGTTATCTTTGGTGTCACCTATGGGCAGTTATAAGCTGCTGATATGAGTAAGTTTACCTTTCTGTTTTGGATATTCACTCAATGGTATGGCATCCTCATCAGAGCTACTACTGCCGAAATCATTCAAAGATGTAGCTTTTGACCCTTTTGGCCTCCCTCTTTTCCCTGCAAAAATGCATAATCTATATTATTCTGGAATATTTTTCATAATCCAAATACAATTGATTATATGATGCCACAATTTGTACTGATTTACATAAAAAACTGGAACATCATGACATTTTTACTTCATTCTCAATCCTGCCATTACTTTTAACTTACTTTTTGTACCACCAGTTGTATATGTAATTTCCTCATCGCTTGATGATGATAGATCAGTTGATTCAATGGATATTTCTGATACTAAGTATAGAATACTAGTCCAAGTCAGTGCTAAATATAGAATATTAATCTCGGAGTAAATACGAGATTTGGTTAACGTGACCGGAAATGGATAATGGAACTTGTATTCTAACTATTATAACTAAATTAAGTAAAGGGTACAAGAAAACAGGTTCTAAAGGCGGAAGAGTCAGGGTGAAACTACACACCAATTTAAAAGGATTAAATAAATAGGCAACAACAATAATGTGCTACAACAACCACTAGGCCTACTAAGCCTGAAGATACTTACTATAAGATGGTAATGTTTATCTATAATGAATTTATTTGGTTTAACTTTATATGAATAAATACGTAATCTGCATGCAATCAAACGCCTTTTAGTTATCTATAAATAACTGCTCAGATTAATTATTGTGATATTTATAATTTACTACAAACAAGAATTCTATAGTCTATAAATATTTCAAATGGATACTTTTTATACTACTGATGTACAGCGTTCACTAACACAAAAGGTCAACTTGAACTTAAAGTGGTAAGCTTTCTAACTGTATTGTCTTTTACGCCGTCTATACACGCCAGGAAGTATTAAATCTCTAGCCACACAGGATTAAACCAAGACCTAAACAACCACTATATGATTTCAACAGCTGATTGACCGATTTACTCGGAGTGCACAAGTACTCTGCTTAAAGACAAGTCTCAGACCTGAACATCCAATAAACCCTAAGGATTCACCCTTTGTTAAGTCAATCAACACCTTGTCTGACTCCGCCTCCTATAATGTAATTCCTAAATTCCTTTTACAGCGCCAAAGGCCTAATATGAGTTTTAAATATGACTTTCGGAACCTCGAAATGACAACCCTATTTATTTTAACACCACGTTCAGATATCTAATTCCCATATGCAACAATTCCTCTAAACACCCGAACAGCGAAAACAGGAGTTTTCAACGAATACAAAGAGCCAAAACTCAAAATTAGCTGGTTAATTGGACGCTAATTGGTCGACTCTTTCTTACATGAAAACATTACTTGCTTTTCCTCTCCAGCGGTTACACGTGAATTGTGAATTAATATGGAATTAACGGCGGGACAATTGTTTCACTTCTATTCCTCTAACAATCCTCTACCACACCAAGTGATCTCTGACTACACTGAATAGACCATAGAAATATTTGCCCTGATAAAATAACTGTTTCCCGATCCGACATTCACGTTCAAAGTTCCCTTTTATTTTCTACTATTTCTTTCAAATCTCAAATATTCGAACTAAACAGTCAAATAGAGAACAGATCAGAAACCAATGATAATCAATCTTTATTGCTGATCAGCCCAGATTTTCCGAAATATAGCCTAATCTTCTAGCTGAAAATAAGTACAAGTGAACGAACAATTTCGATTTAATCATTCAATCGCCAATCAAATTCCCAAAGTAATCATCCAATTTTAATCATAAACTAATTAAAATTCCTCTCTTTCTATCTCTACTCAAACCTCTGCCATCCAAATGACCTATGTTCGAATCTAGATAGACTATAGAAATTATACTTCAAAATATTAATTAAATCGAAACAATTGAATTTCGCTATTCTATTTCTTTTCTCAAACCTCCGTCATTCAAACGACCTATGTTTGGACCTAAATAGACTGTTAAAATCTCATTCAAAGTTATTAATTGAATTAAATTTCTCTCTTCTATTCCTTCCAAACCTTATTGTTTGAACTTAATAGACTATAGAAATCTTATTCTGTGGTTTAGTTTAATTTGACTTAATATCGGTAATGATGATTTTAAATTTTAATTGTCTCTTTTGGGAACTCCAATCTGACGATTTTAACAATCAGTTTGCACTTACAAATAGCCTCACAGGTGCAGTTGCCATTTTTTCTCTTCTGCGATTCTGGGTTTCAACGCATATTCAGAAACAATATACGGTGGTCGTGGAAAAACTCTCCAAAGTCAGATTTCCTTTCTGCAGTTCTGTACTATTATAACGCATATTCGAAAAAATGGGTTTGCCCTCAAACCATTGCTTTTAGGAAAACATTGATTAAATAATTTGTTAATGATTGATATAATAATATATTAATCCTATATATATACATATATGTATATGCAGTGGTCTCCCCAACATTAAAACAAGCGAGTACCAAACTGAGATCCGGAAAACAAACCCACACTCACCTGAAAATCCGTCAACACACACTTGAAAACGGAAAATTAGGCACATTTCGACTAATCTTGATTTGAATGGCGAGAATGATAATTTTGAACTCACTCGAAGTTCAATGGTGTGGAGATCACCGATATGTATAAATTTTACGTCAAGTCACTTTATATGGGGCCTTTAGAAATAATAGTCCAGGCCATAATCCATGTCTAGATCAATTGTTGGGGATCCTAATCACTGATAAGTATAAAATTTACGTCAAGTTACTTTATATGGGGCCTTTAGAAATCATAGTCCAGGTCATAGTCCACATCTAGATCAATTGTTGGGAATCCTAAATCCAAATCCAAGTCAAGCAGGTCGTCCGTCAGTTCCTTACCCAACAGACCTCTGTCAGATTCCAGAGTACCTGACGGGAAAGGAACTGCCGAGGACCCAGCCTGCAACCCGGATGGCCCTGGCACTGGCCCCGAGCTACTCGTGGACCCGTCACTGGTAGAAACGGCTAGATTCGTAGCATCTAAAGTGGGCTGGTCAGGTTGACAGATGTTGTTGGAAGTTGTGGTTGTTGAGGCGGCAGTTGTCGTAGCTGTGGTCGAAGTGGGCTGGCTAATGCTTGCGGAAGGGTGGGAAGCTGCAGAAGCAGTCTGGCTAGTGCCGGCAGAAAGGTGAGAAGCTGCTAGAGCCGGCTGGCTATTTCTGGCGGAAGTGCAGGCAGCTGTTGAAGTGGTCTGGCTCGCGTTGGTGAAAGCCTATGTGGCGACTGGTCTTATCGAAGCCGTCGGGGTAGGCTGATGAAGGCTGCTAGTGATGGCAGTGGCAGCTTTGAATTTAGCAGTAGTATCCACTAGCGTGGTAGTAGCAGTGGTGGCTGACGCTTGTGTCTTGGGCGCAATTCGGCGGGGTTTTTTTTTGGAGGAAGCTGGGCCGCGAGTATGGGTGAGACATGAATGGTCCTGAGGGTGGGTGCTGGCCTTTTATTTTGTTCTCCCTCTTCTGCATAACCATAATCGTGCCGGGCCCGATGCAATCTCAATTCCTCTTCTTGATTGGGGGTGAACCTCTCCAGGCACCCCCCCCCCACCCCACACGCCTCGGATTGCATGTAAGCGCAATCCTGGTGTATCTTTAAGCATAAGGGGGTCTTAAACAATTTCCCACAGAGGTATGGTCTAGCCCTATTCCACTTTGGCGGTGGTGCTATGGGTATTCTGCAATCCTGGAAGAAGAAAAATATGTATCCTTCCTTCAATTCCCTTGTCTACCAGGACATTTTAATTGCTTTAAGGATACTTATAGACACATTATAAGATTATATCGAATAATAGGAATAATAATACAAACTTTGCAGCTTAACTCAGAAACCAGTGTATTAATAAGTTTCATATTCATCTAGCCATTCCGGTTTCTTTCGGACCCTTGGTTTCCTCCCCGAAACCCTTTCTGTTTCACCCACGTTTTCATTTGAAGCTCAACTTCCTCGGAATTTTCATTCAACATTTCTTTTGAGACTTTTGGTATAAAGACTTTCAACCGGTCGTGGTGTATAACTCGCTTATCTTTTTTTTTCACTTATCTTGATTTGATATCTAAGATCATCGATCTTCTCTACAACTTCATATGGCCCATGCCATTTTAAAGCAAATTTCGGTGACTGACCTACTTTGACCTCCGGAATATGCACCCAGACTCGCAACCCCTTTTCATAAGTTTTCAAATTTGTTTTTAAATCATAACCTCTTTTTTGTCGACTACTAGCTATTTGGATATTCCGTCTGGCTGCCTCATGAACATTAAGCATAATCCCCTGTAACTCCTGACAATATTGAGTGTAACAGGTGCTCTCAACTTCCCCGTGCTCAACCTCAGGAGGAGGCCCTAGTAACAGATCGGCAGGGGTCCGCACTTCCCGACCAAACATCAGGAAATTAGGACTATACCCGGACTGCACTATTGTAAGCCAGTACTACAAAAGGTAAACATCTGTCCCAGTCTCGTTGGTCAGTCGCAACAATCTTAGATAACATCGCTTCCACAGTTCTATTGGACCTTCCTACCATCTCATCAGACTGAGGATGATAAGGCGTTGTTCGAGTCTTACTCATCTTGAATAACTCACATGGATGGGAGGGGGTCTTAACTCCTCTTCCTATACTACTCACAAGCCTATCTATGTAAAATCCGTATTCAGAAATGAGAATGCAACTTTCTTATGATTTTGATACTGAGGCCCTCTATAAATAAGAGCGAGCATTAAGTACAGGGATATGATAATTAGCCCTTTGCTAGCTGGATCGAATCGTACCTAATTCTTAGCCTTATGTCAAGCAGCTTCAATATAAAACGGCTGAGATAATATTCGCCTAGTGCAAATTCCTTACAAGAGCATAAATAACCTATCCTAAAACTTGCTTCGCATATGACAGAACAAAAATTGATTTCACGCTTAGCCCTTGCATATAATGTCAACGTGACCGTTCGGAAATACACTATTCGAACTAATTCCCCGGGAATTATATCCTCGAGCGTAAATCAAATATATAAAATAAACCAAAATTGTGTTTGGACACTTTACTACGCCTTAAGAGTTACAGACACAAATATAAATAAACAGGGACTCTTGCATCTTATTAAGATAAATGCGTGTTCAGCTAACAAAAACAAATGCTTCTCACATTCCGTAGGCGGCCGTGAAATTGGATAATTCAGGTCACCAAGCAGATGTGTGAATTGTAATTTGGTTATGTCAATGTAAAATCACACAAAACTTGCAATGAAGGCGTTCAAAACTAACGATTACAATATTTTGGAACTATCAATCGATCTCTAATGCACAATGAAT